GAGAGAGAGAGAGAGAGAGAGAGGGGGCGATAGGAAAAGGGAATGGCGTAGAAGGTGCCATAAAAAATAGATTTGACAGCAGTAACTGAAGTAAATCTTATTATAGAAGAATAAGCCTTTTTTAAAACATTTTCACAAGTGTACTATTTACAATTTACTTTGACCAGTTGTGGTTAGTTTTCTATTTTCTGTCTCCTTTATTCCAAATACCGAGCAAAGTGTTCCTTCTTGCAGAACGATACATTGGCGTTTGCCATGGAGTGTCAGAAAATATATTTAACTAAAAGCATTCTTCAGACACTAAACAATGTTTTCTTTTTATTAGTAACAGTTCACTCTGTGAGACTAATATTCAAAACGTTCGTTTGTGCGTTAATGGAAATCAAGCGTAACCTTGTTAACTATCAAAACAGGTTCAAGATTCATTGGAGTTTCGGTTTACTCATACTGTTTGTCGATCGATTCGTCAATAAATCGGCAAGTGCAGAAGGAAAAACCATTCACACCTCAGTAAACAACACTGCTTCCTCGCTAAAGGCTGGCGAAAAGATAAAAACCGAGATTTTAACAAAGCATTAGCAGCAGACAATGACCAGTTAGTCGGTGAAAGAGGTGGTGCTCAGTTGTCAAGTATTCCGAGACTGTATCGTTTACGTTCATTCTAAGATCGTTTCCTTCAGCTGTGTCAGAGAAGAATCGTTCCATTTTGCATGAGGATCAATTGTTGCTTTACGCTGTCAAGACAGTTTCGTCCACCCAAGGTACTCCCCGTTTGTAAGGAGTATCCGGCATTATTGATGGTCTCGTGGCACTTTTTGTAGCCCGAACAGGCACTAATGTTTATAAACCGAGGCCTCTGTGAATTATAAAAGATCTGATGAGCGTTCTCGGCTAGTCATTATTGTTGACAAGGTTACGGATAAACTTAACTCTTAGTATACGACATACTATTCCAACTTTTTAAGCAGCCAATTTTGTCATCCTTATTTTCAGCATTAAAAAATTCCCTTAAAATTCAGCTCCTATTCAGCCTACCTGCATACAATAAACACCCAACAGAGTATAAATGAATGGTCTGTGCAATTCAGATACAATTTGGTCAAACCTGAGATAGATTTCCTGTTGTTTTTGGATGTTTCGCTACCTCAGAATTACAATTTTCAATCTGACGTTTTTTGCCGTTTGAGTTACTAAGATCATGAAGTCAGAACAGAACGTAAATTATGTCCTATCTGCTCTATGAAAATCGTAAGAATGTTAGGAGTCATTATCAACAAAGTCAAAAAATTGCATTCCGTAAAGCTTGACATATTGTAAAACCAAACAACAACCTCACCCCCCCCCCCCCCAAAAAAAAAAAAAGAAAAAAGAAAAAAAAAACAGAAAAAAAACACATAAATAAGATGATGTCATATTCCGCAAAAGAATTTATTGAGCAGATAGAACGATTTGTATTTCTGAGGTAATGATTTGTCATGACTAAACAATCTAGTGATGTCGTGCACCAGCGCAACTGGCGTGCCGTATAAAAAGAGTTAAAGGTCAAATAATGTTAACGATCTACCTCCCCCCTTTTGTTTTACCTTCATGGAAACGAAGTCGTGCATTTTTGTACGGGTTGAAGAATCAGGAAAATAAACAGCAATGATATGTGTCTGTGATGAGATAGTCAGGCTCTACCCTGGTGGGTGTTTTATTTTTGTTGTTGTTTATTTGTTTGCTGTGGGTTTTTTTGGTAAAAATTTCGGAACTTGTTGTAACACAATGAGGTTATTTAGGTGCAGAAGAATATGTTTTGTTTTAGTAAGGTTTTACGGCACTCGCAACTGCATAAGGTCATATAAGCGCCAAGGGGAGGATGCGAAAAGAGACGTCTAAACGGGGAATCGGGCTTACTCTGCTCACCTCTCTAGCCTCAACAGCACAATGTCTGCTTCGATAATCAAGGCTCCCTTGAAATAGCAGTTCACAAGAGAGTGATAAACATATAAAAGAAGTAGGGGAAAGAATGACGATAGTAAGGATGTGCAAAGAAAAAACAGCAGTTCTCCCTATGTTGTTCTTGCACAGTATGAGCATGACATTGATAAATCAGCCCATTCACAATTCTACTACTGTACATAAGAATATGTTAACATCCTCTTTTTGGAAATTGCCTAAAGACACTTCAGTCAGTATCACAGCTCTGGCGTGACGCTGAAAATTAAAGGGGTTGCTGGTAAATAAGAAATATAAACAACTCCATGTGCACCCCCTCTAAATAAAATGCAAGCAACAAACCAACAATCATGACACTAAATCAACAACACGAAACCAAAATTAAAACGAAATCTCCCCCCCCAAAAAAACACCCCCCCCCCCCCAACACGACAAATACGAAAAAAAAATTAGAAGGCGTCTTTGCCTGAAAAAGAACAATATTCTAAAACGAACTTATCTATTATTATTACAAGGGTGGTTCAATAAGCCTTTGGTCTGGGAAGGAAGGAATCAAGGTAGAGGAATGAAATTTCGCCAGCCTTAAGGCAATTCTTTGGAGCACACAATGCACATTTTCTTGAGAAGCTGACAATAATAAAGCACTAGTCAGCGTAGTCAATGCAATCATGCACAAAAACATATTTGTTTTTCTTCCCTGAAGATGTGCCACGGAGCCTGTTGAATATCGTTCCGTCATTAAGTTTTTAAACTTGCAGGGAAATCCCCTTTGGACATTTTTCAGGAAATGGTCCAAGTTTATGGTGATAAATGTCCTCGTTATAATACTGTGACATATTGGGTAAGAAATTTCAAATATGGATTCTTGTTGGTGATGGATGAAGATCTTGAAGGGCGTCCATCCTTCGTGGTAACTGAAGAGAATGTATCCATAGTGAAGGAACTGGTTGTACAAGACCGATATATAACTGTTAAACAGCTCTCAAGTGAAACGAGAATCAGTGTAGTGTCACTTGAAACGATTCTCCATGACCATCTTAACATGAACAAGGTGTTAACGCAGTGGGTACCCTGCCTGTTGACAAGTGAGCAAAAGAAGCAGAGGGTTGAGTCCTGCAAAACTCTCCTTCCAATTGAATTCAATGACACACATTTCTTTATGGAAAACCCTCTCTTCCCTCTCACCCAATAAAAGCAAAGGTAACACTGTCAAGTGGAAAGGTCATTCTGTCTTGTTTTTGGGATTTTGAAGGTATCATTTTGATTGATTACTTGGAAAATGGAAAAACAATCACGGGAGACTACTACTGAGGTCGGGTTTGATGATAAAATTGTGGTCCGAGTTGGTGAGAAAAAGGTGTGGAAAACTCCGCAATGGGGTCCTCATACTGCATATCAACGCCCCCGCGCACAGGCCACAACAAGCAGTCAATACCGCAGAACAGTACGGCTTTGAAATCCTGCGACACACAGCTTATAAACCAGACCTAGCCCCCCCAGACTTTTTTTCTGTTTCCTAATCTTTAAAAAATCACTCTAAGGGCGTCGTTTCCATGACAATGAGGACTCCATTGAAGATTTTGAAGACTGGTGTGGCGCCCATTCTGTTTCATTTCTCTCTCAAAGGGCTTTTGAAAGTCAAAGAGAGGTGGTAGAAATGTGTAACTCTGTATAGTGACTATGTTGAAAAATAAAAGTAAGTGTGCCAAGTTTCAAAGCTCTATCTTCATTCCTTTATATTTAGACCTAAGACTTCTTGAAACCCCCTCGTACTGAATGAGTAAGAGAGTGCAATGTAAAATATTTTTCCTTACTTAAGTCTCTCTTCCGTTTCCACACATCACATGCAATGTTGTTTTATTTTCTTCTGTTCGTGATTCTGAAAAAAAACTAGAACAGTGTCAAGTCTCGTAGATAAGATGCTTTTTTCTTTGGGTATACACCTGCAAATTACGACAGACCAGGTTTTTCAAATGGCAGGTTCCTACATTCATGGCGCCCCCCCCCCCCAAAAAGAAAAAATTAAAAAAAATTGCTCACTACTGTATTTTTATAGGAATGATATGGGTGTGAAATATACGATATCCCGATTTTTTAAATACTCTTTATCATTTATGTATTTATCTATCTATTTATTTATTATTTATTATTCTCTTTTATTTCATTTTAGAAAAAGAGGGGCGATTTCACATACCTCAAGAATTCGCGATGTTTCGCGATTTTTCAAGAAAAACACGAATTTTAGTCGTTATTGGTGTGTTAAAGGATTATCTGAGTATCATTTCTACCATCGTTTGTCTTTATCTGTCTGTCTGTCTTTTTGTTATTCATCTATTATAATATGGTATAATAACATCTATTGTTCCGTCCCTTCTTCCAATTTTCTCTTTCTTTCTCTCTCTCTCTCTCTCTCTCTCTTTCTCTCTCTCTCTTTCTCTTTCTCTCTCTCTCTCTCTCTCTTTCTCTCTCTCTCTCGCTCTCTCTCTATTTCTTTCTCTCCCTTGGTGACTTTTCCTGTGTTTTTAACTTACAATAGTCTAATCTTTCTGCGTAAAAGACTCAGTTCTCTCT